AGAAAGTGCTGCTCAGATGTAAGACTTCTGCGGGAGATGGCCAGCTATTGTTGTAAAATGATGAATAAATTTGTTTTCTCCCCCATCTAGAAGCCTTTGAGAGGGAACTGATTCTAACCACTCCAACAACTATCAAAATAACTGAAAGCAAATCCTGAATCCATCACTCTAGAGTCCAGCCTTGGCAGACAAAAGAAAAATGAGGAGGAACCCAATAGAGGGATGTTTTTGGAAGCTCTCATCAAGAAATTCCAACGGACTCTCTCATGAACATTTGAAAATTGCCCTGTTCTGACTTTTTTTCTAGTTCCCTGTCTAGAACTTGTAATGCTAATTACTCTTGCCTTTACTTCTCCTTCACATCTCCTATTCATGATTCATGACTTTCTTTTCTTCCTTGAGATAAGAGTTATGCAGTTTGGGAGTCTTTTAGATAGAACCACTGAGGGGGTACTCCATTTGCCTCACCCTGCATCCCTGTTCAGCATGGAAGAAGCCAGAGCAGTCTGCATCCTGATTCCCTATTGGCAATTTGGGTAACCTCTTCAGAGGATGGTGTGATAAGAATAGGAGGTAGGAATTCACTAGGCAGGGTAAAAAAGACCCCAAAGAAAAGTAGTCAGTTTCTTGCCTAAAACTCACAATGTCCTTGGGCCTCTTAGCAACCTACTCCATTCCAAAGGCCAAAAATGTCAAAAGTATTTGGGAGCTTGTATCTAATCCTTAAATGATTTTAGGGTTACCTCTTCAGAAGGGGGAATGTTAGAGTAGCCAAAAGTCCCATTAAAAAAATTAAAGCAGAAGAAAGTACATGAAGTTATCAGAAAAAAGTGATGGGGAGATATGGGAGGAGCTGGAGAGGAGGGAATGGGCATGGATTTGATCAAAACACCTATGTGCATGTATGAAATTCTCAATAAATTATTTATTTAAAAAATAAAAATTAAAAAAGCAAAAAAAATTTCCTTTCTTTCAAAGGTATTGTACTAGTCCATTATTTGTCTGTATGCACATTTTGCAAAGCCATTCATCAATTGGTGAACATTTATGTTGTTTCTACCTTTAGGCAATTGTGAATTTCTATGAATATTGGTGTATAAATACCTGTTTAAGTCCAGATCTTTCCTTTGAATCACTGCACTTAACATTATGGTATCATAGCCAGTATTTGCTGGGGGCTATTTTACATCTGCATTTGTGGTAGAAAGTCATGATGCTCCAGCTTTTTCTTTCATGATTTCCATGATGATGAACTGTTTCAGTGGCAGGCTGCATGAATCCATCATGGCTGCTCCCATAATCAGGGTTTAGGGAAATGAGGATGTGGCACTTGATTATTCCACAAAGAAAACAAGTATAAAGAGATCAAATGGGAACCAAACCTCCAACATAGTCTGTGGAATGCTGTGTTTTGAGTAACTGAGCCACACTGCTATGAACACTCATTTGTTGTAAATCCATGTCGTCACACTTACATTGCTAAATTTGGCATATGAGTTATAAAGTGGCCCCAAGCTATTTACTTGTGGGTCTTTTATGAGTTTGTATGAACTATGGCTTTCTCAATTCTCAGCCTATAAATAAGATATAGTTAAAAAGGAATAGTGTAAGTGTAAAACATAGTTAAGCAATGAGAACACAAACAAATGGTAAATATTATCATCATCATTATTCTGGAAGAGAAATGTTATAATGAGCCTTAACCAGCTGTAAATCCTGTAAGCTTCAATAACACCTGGCCTGCCAAGATATGCTCAGTGGCACAACAGTGGTAGAAATGTTATGGGAGTAGCCAATCACCTTCTGATTGGATTTAAAACATACTTCACAAGATGGAGCCCATATCTGGCACTGTTATCAGGGCCAAAAACTCACAGCTAGACAGAAAACAGGCCATAGGGGTCAGGCTACTACTACTATTCTGCTAACTAGACATAGTATTAGACTGACTTCTAATGACTTATTGTTATACTCATAGATTTGTGAATCTCTCAACTCTCACCAAAGAAGCTTCTTCTTGCAGTAGATGGAAATTAACACAGAGACCCACAAGTGGTCAACACACAGAGAATAAGACACTATGGCATGCTCAGACCTAAATGGGACACCTCTCCTCAAAGGCTAAGGGATTATTTTGAAAGCAGGGTCAGAAAAATTCTAAGATTCAGAGGTGGTAGATGAATACAAGGAAACTATATTGTCTGGACACCACAATAGATGCACATATGAACCCACAGCACTTGAGATAGCATGCACAAAACCTATGCAAACCGAACCCAGATAAAAGAAGCTCCAGCCCTTGCTGAGCATCATTTGGCAACTGATAGCTGCTAGGAGAGGGAGAGCAAATTTTCTTTAAGGGTATGACACCTGGTAGGTCAACCAGACTCTAAGGGATGAACCTACATCCAAGAGCAACACGAATTGGTCTTGATGGGCCTTTTGCTTTATTGCAGTGGTGAGACAGAGTATCTCTAGAGCCCCAGTTGCCCTGGAGCTCACTATGTAAGCCAGGCTGGCCTTGGTCTCACAGAGATCTGCCTCTGCCTCCTGAGGGCTTAGATTAAAGGTGTGCACCACCACACCCAGCTTCAATAGACCTTTTAAAAAAGGAAAAATAACAATAGAGAACTTGAAGTTGGGGGGAGTAATAAGATGGGAGTGGATTTGGGGATATGAATACGATCAGAATACATTGTATGAAATTCTCAAAGAATCAATAAAAATATTTTTTAAAAGAAGGAAAAAAGGAGCATGCCATGAAGATGAAAGTGCAGAAAATCAGACACTCCAAGTTCCTATTATGACTCAGCACCCAAGGTCCCTTAGTAACAGGTGGGCCCCTTGTCAATGTGACACATGCTTTCCTCATCTATGGAAATAAAAATGATCATACTTTGTCTTCCTCTTAGAGATTATGGTAAAGAAACACCTGATGGACATAGAGGGCGATAATAAATGCCAGCACTTTATAAGGCACAAGGCACCCCACTAACATGGGGGTTTTCATTCTCACCCCTGTAGTATCAAAATGGAACCTAGTATTGGTTTTGATAATTGTGGACATCCCTACAATTACCTTTTTACCAATATCAACAAATCTGAACCATCTATCCACAATAGATATGTCATCTATCTCCTTAGAAAACTAACAATAAAAAAATTATTTAAGATAATTATCTGACTAAAACACTTCAAAGGTGAGAGCATATCCTGGTATACTAATCATTATTAACTTGGATACATTATATAATCATATTTAATCTTTAAAAGAAAAGACACCCACGGTTCCACTGGCATGAGTACGCACATATCTCCCATGAATTTTGGAAATCATTGAGTATTTTCTAGGTTCTTTTAGCTTAAAATAAAATCATACATGGACTTTTGATTATCCATGGTATCAGAGATGCTAAATGAAGCACACAGATAAAGCACATGTGTCATTCAACTACTAGTTCATCCTTTTTCCCCAGGTAACATCTCCCCTGGTTGATTTGCTTTTCACCCTCTCTTCCCAGGACTCTAGCTACCCAGAGTTCATATTAATAAGCACTGGAAAGGGAAAACTAAATAAATAGACAAGCATTTTACAAAGCAGGCGGTAGGATGGTGATGAGGGGGAAAAAACAAGACATGGATAAACTACAGCTAAGTAATTGGCTGGAGTAAAATAGGTGCCTTCAAACATTCAAGTCTTTCAGGAAACAAAACTACCTACTGCTGCATAATTTTCTAAAACGGCAGTCTGGCAGCCTGAAAACCATTGCACCTCTATTTAATTTACACACGGAGAAAACTCAGCCAAAGACCCAATTACAGTGTATTACCCTGGATGGAATTTGAACGTTGTTTATGCCCACTGCGCTTTCCAATGAGCAGTCAACGAGCATGTTATTTTTTGTTCCAGAAATATTATTCTAACGATAGCTCCCCCATTTGATGCACCTAGAGCTCTGGCTGGTAGCTGAGGGTGAACAAGATGCAAATCTGAAGCACTTGGGCATTTCTCTAAACACATTTCAGGAAGCCTACCCTAGAAGCTCATAACCACGCACAATACCAACCTTATGGTCATTCGCCTTGTAATCATTGAACAGGGACTGGCTGCCCGCCAGAGTGTAGGTACTGCCCTCTCTGAACACGCTGATCCTCTGAGCAGTCAGCTTAGGGGAGTACAGCTGAGGCTTGGGGGCTTCCCCAGACCCGTAAACACCATCCATTGGTTCAAGGGCCTCCTGTAGAAAACTGTGAGGGTATTCCTCTTTTGGCGACTCTAATTCCTGCCCATCCTCAAAAACCTGTTTCAACACTCGACCACTGTAGGAGGAGGAGATTTTAAACCGTACTTTCCGGGGTTTGCCGTCGCTCTTCTGAGTCAGCTTCTTTTCAGGGTCCTCCATCAGTAAAAAGTTCCCGCTGTGGTCTCCAAGCTTCCAAGTAGCCAGTGAAATTTAGACCTCTGAGGAAAAAAAAAAAAGGCATTTTACTTTCTCTCCTCCTACGTATGATTAATTCAGGTAGGTCCTGGGGTATGCTCAGTTACAGCAACTGACACCCACACATTAAATATTGATAGACACTCATGAAAAGGCAGGTGATCATGGGTGTATGAAGTGGATGGAACAGAAGACAGGCAGGTTCCTTTGTCACCAAGTAAGATACCAAGCTCACCCATAACTTTCGCCTCGCTTTTCTTAACCTGAGGGCAGATAGCTTTATTATAATGAACAAGTATCAACTCAATAAGGATCAGACACTTGATCAGTTAGCAATTACCTTGTTACTAAAACAGCTACAATCTAGTATTTAGTAAGTTCCAAAGATTGCTGTCTTACCTTGCTTCATTCTTAATATAATCCTACTAAGAAACTACTATGTTTTACAAAAGAAAAAAATAGGCTGAGAGTTATTTCCTCATTTGGCTATTAAAATTATGAAAGTGACTGGAAGAGATTCTAATTCATATCCATGTGACTCTAAAACCACGACTGGTCCATCAAGCAATGTCTTGTAAGGCTTTAGGTACAGTGCTGGTTCTTGAGGGCTTCTGCTTAGAGCAGAAAAATTCAGAGACTTCAGAATTCTGGGTCTTTCATCAGAGCAACTCCACTTTGTGTGTATTTTATTCTTGAGACTTCATTTGTAGGGCTGGACAGATAGCTCAGCCAGTAAGAGCACTTCCTGCTCTTGTAGGGGGCCCAAGTTCAGTTCCTGGTAGCAACATGGTGGCTCACAACCGTCTATAACTACAGACCCAGGGGAACCAACATCCTCTTCTGGCCTCCATGGCCACCAGGCACATACATGGTATACATACATACATGCAGGTTGTTTTATTTCTCTATTGCTTTAATAAAGCACTGATCAAAAACAACTTGGGGAGGAAAGGGTTTATTTGGCTTATAGCTCACAGTCCATCATCAAGGGAAGCTAAGATAGGAACCAAAGTACTGATCATGGAGGAACACTGCTTACAACCTTACTCCCCTGGCCTGTGCTCAGCCTGCTCTCTTACACAAACCAGGACTCTCCCCGCCCAGAGGTGGCACTGCCCACAGAGGACTGGACCCATATCACTCAATAGTCAAGAAAATGCCTCATAGACATGCTCAAAAGCCAATCCAGTATAGGAAATTCCCCAGTTGAGGTCCCCTCTTCCCAAGTGTGTCAAGTTGACAACTGAAGCTATCCAATACAACTAACCCTTTGTCAACTTGACACACAAACACACCACTATTAAGCCATAACTTCCCATTTCTTGTTCAAGATCTCTTGTTAATATTACTATCACAATACAAAACATACCACAACTTTAAAAGCCCCACAGCCTTTAAAAAATTCAAATTCCAGTTCTCAATAATGAAGCTCCCTCATGCAGAGAAGGGCCAGGAACATAAAAGGTAACAAATGGCCAAAGTGTAGAGATCAAGAGTCTGCTAAACAATGGTCCTTGGACAGGACCCCTTTATTAAACTTCATCCACCCAAGGCTCAAGGACCATCGAGGAAGAGGGAGCAGAGCGATTGTAAAAGCCAGGGAGGATGGGCATGACCATATGGAAACAGAGTCCTACAAGCTCCTGGGAAACTGCTCATAGGATTCTATAGCAATGGTGTCAGCATACACAAGTCCCATGAAAACTCAGGCAGACAAAAACCCAGCTTAGAACTGGGAAAATGAACAGCAGATCCCAATCTTATCTAAAGGAATGTTGGCAACTGATTGCTACTAGATGAAGAAGAACTGATCTTCCTAAAGCAAGGGAATCTAGATAGGATGACTAGACTAAGCAGATGGACTTGCACTGGGAAACGGCTCGGGGCACTGACAACACAGTGGGCAGTAACAGGGATGACAGAGTATAAGGGCTCCAGTGGCACGGGTAGGGGTAGGCTATGGGATGGTGCCATTTGGAATGGGGGTATAAAGATGGCTAAGATTGTTTGGGATGTTCTGTATGAAATACACACCAAAAAAATCAATAAAATAAAAGTAGTTTAAAAAATTCAAATTCCTTAGAAGTTTGAAGTCTCTTTGAAAAGTCCAAAGTCTCTTAACTGTGGGCTCCTGTAAAATCAGAAACAAGTTAAATGCTTTATTTCAAAAGGAAAGAACCAGGCACACTTAAACAAAACCAGAGTCCAGCAATGTAGCTCAATGTCTGACATCTGGGATTCACTCAGAATCTTCTGGGCCACAAAGAACTTGGGCACAGGCAAACATTCATGCAAATTAAAAAAAAAAATAGAGGGGCTGGAGAGGTTGCTCAGCAGTTAAGAAGACTGGGTGTTCTTGCAAAAAACCCAGGTTCAAATCCTAGCTCCCACATGGCAGCTAACAACTGTCTGTAACTCCAGTCCCGGGGCTCTGAAAGCCTCTTCTGAACTCCACAGGCATTGCACGACATGGGTGCACTTACCTACATGCAGGCTGTATTAGTCACTTTTCTGTTGCTGTGATAGAAACACTGACCTGAGCAACTTATAGAAGGAAGAGTTTGTTTGATCTTATGGTTCAAGGGAATTATAGTCTGTCATCACAGGGAGGCATAGTGGCTGGAGGTGGCTGGACCAGGAGCAGCAGAAGCTAAGCTCTCACATCATCATGAAGGCACAAGAAGCAAGAGAGTGACTGGAGGTCTGGCAAGGCTTAAGGACTCTGTAAGCCCACCCCCAGTGACATGCTCCCTCCAGGATAGCCACACCTTCTAAAACCTCCCAAAACAGTGCCATCATGTGGGGACAAAATATCCAAATACTTGGAGACTAGGGGACATTTTCATTCAAACCATCACACAGGCAATACATGCATACACATAAAATAAAAATAATAAATAAAAAAAATTTTAAGTTTAAAAAAAAATAGAACCTTCATTTACAACCACTGTAGTAGCCCCTGCAGCCTAATGGATTTTGTAAATGCCCAACTCAGATAGTTAATGGAATGAATGTCAGAGAAGCATGAGCTGTGAATGCTGTGAACCTTCCTACAAGAAACAGACCTAACACATTTAAAATACCCTCATGCATAGGGAACAGAGTGTCCACTGCTGAATCCTGGGATGGCTATTCCAGAAAAGGACATTCTCTAAGGCTACAAAGATGCAAGAAGGATTGAAAGAGAAAGGACTTCTGAATTGGCTCTAAAAGGATGGGTTGGGTCTGAAAAGCTGGAACGGTGGGATAAAATCTTTCTCCCTGTCTGTGCTGACGACATCACTGTTTATTTACTTAGCTGCCCAAGCTGACCTCTGGTACTCCTTAGCTATTCCTAGGGATTCTATCACCATGGCTTTCATTATCCATCTTACCACTCTGGTCCTAGGAATTTCAAGGTTGCAGCTGTCTCCAACCTATTTCATTGCCCACATTGGTATGGGAATAGTGTCCCCCTCCAAAGGTCTGCAGATGCAAGTTCCTGATTAGAAGTCTTTCCAGTGATCCACTCCACAACCAGTTCTAACTGCTCCTTGTGATAAAGTTCCTCAAAGTCTAGCCTCAGTTTCCAAAACTCCTTTCCGTCCTCACCCTCTGTTACTCTTCCAGGTACTGCCTGAAATTGATGTTAAAGGCAAGCCAAGAAGCTCATTCATTTATCAAAACCTCAGGTTTCTGTCTCTTATCCAGCACTGTTTCCTGACTAGTGGATAAGATTTCTAATCCTCCTTCATACCACACACTGCTTCTGGGAGCCTTCCTCGTGTCCTAGGAAGTTCCTTCTTCCCGTTTCCCTTGCCATTCTTGCATGTCCTTCCACATAGCTGTAAGCACCTCAGAGTCAGAAGTTTTCTGTGCCAACTTTCTATCCCCAGTGTTTAGCAAAGTACCTGGTACATGCTAGAACTCAGTTAATAACTTTTAAACTGTTAAATGACTTCAGATGACAGAAGTCAAATTAAAAATACCTTCAGGGAGCTGGAGAGATGCCTCAGTGATTAAGATCACTGACTGCTCTTGCAGAGGACCCAGGTTTGATTCCCAGCACCCACATGGCGGCTACAAATCGTCCTTAACTCCAGTTCCAGGGGAATCCGGCACCCTCTTCTGACCTCCTTGGGCATTGCATGACCACAGGTGCACTCACATACATGCAGGCAATACACTCAAACACATAAAATAAAAATAATAAAATATTTTTTAAAATACCTTCAGAACAGGAGCTGGCATATTTTATAGAGAATAGTTAACATGTAAGACCAGAAGTTGTTAAGAAAACACCTACCTTTCTACTAAGAAGTTCCATAGTTCTTAGGCATACCAATTTCTTTCACAGCACTCTAAGCAAAGTACCTGACAGAAACAACCTAAGGGTGGAAAAGTTTGTTTGGGGATCATGATTTCAGTCTATCACAACAAAGAATGTTGGAGTGGCTCAGCCCATAGCAGTGGGCATATGGTATGTGGCAATAGCTATTCATGTGGTAGCAAACAGGAAGCAGACAGTGGCCAGAACTAAGGGTCAGGCTCCAGTCTTCAGAGGCCTTCCCCGAGTGACCTTCTCCCAGCCATGCCTCACCTACTAAAGGCTCCCAAAACACTGCCTTCTGCAGGGGAACAAGCATTTAAAACATAGTATGGTACAATCAGTGCAAGAAATATGTGAGAGAAGAAAAAACTAGGGAGAGGGAGAGAGAGAGAGAGAGAGAGAGAGAGAGAGAGAGAGAGAGAGAGGCTCTGCTCTTCTTAACATCAGAAGACACATTTATCTAAGTTCCCTTGGCTACAGAGCTCACCCAGATGTGCTATGAATCAGTTGCAGGAGGCTGAGACCTGATCTCTCATCTTTGGAAAGTCAAATGGGGCTCAGGGCTACACATCAGTTTTGTGTACAGAATGATATCATTATAGTCTATGTGTGTCATGTTATGAAGACTGGAAACCCCTAACTAAAGGAATATTTCCTTCTGTCTATATTTACAAACGACCAATAACCTGTCTTCAGCAAGAACGTCTAGTGAGC